ATTAGCAGTATACACAGAATATGAAACCACCAAAGAAATATTTTTCTAGAGAATAAAGTATTCATTCTTTTCATAATTATCTCACCTCCATTGGGACCAGGATCAGGAGGTCCTAAACTGACACCTCCCCAGGATCGTCCAGTCCAACCTCTTTCCTTCTTAATCCGTACTCTCTTTCTTTTGTCTAGTTGCTTTTGTTCCTCAGCTTTTGCTAACTGCAAAGCCTTCTGCTCTTCTTCATTTCTCTGAGTAATGCTTTGAACTTTTCCAGATACCATCAATGGAGCATTGAGACCAGGCCAAAGGAAACCAATTTTTCCTGAACACATCAACACAAAACAATTACAACAAATACAAATTAAAACAAATCATGGATTTTATTTAGCATACTACCAACCTACACTCTGAGCAAATATCAGAAGTCATAAAATGATTTTGTTGCACTCATTCACTTTATATGTATAGCTAGCTTATCATGGCATCTTAAGGAAGATTAAAATTGTAAAAAGTGGCAGACATTTTTGGCTAACCAGAATTTGCAAAAGTTTAATTGTTTTTAATAAGAGAACCCAACTGTCTAGAATTCATGACTGAATTTATTACTGAAAGTGAGTCAATTTTTACATACAATATCTCCCTCTATTCCAACTTGGAATCAATTCTTTTCAAGTAGAAAACTTATTTCCTGAAATAAATTCTGATTATCACTCTCTGGCTATTTTCAGCACCCCAAGGAAATCCTTATAAATACAATTTTATTATGTGAACTCTGCAATAAGAAATTGCAGTATATCCTCATATCCTAAGGTAAGTCTTTCTGCTGGGATTCAGCAGTAATTCCTTCCGCACATGGTTGACTCTATTACAGTATAAGATGGAATGAGGGCACAATTTACCTCATGCAGCATATGCTAGGGAATCTGGAGAAAATAGCAATGATAGCTTCCCCACACCATTATTGTTTCCCAGATATTCCCACTCCCAAAAGACAGCTATCTCCCTTATGTAAGCTATCTTTACTTCCTACAATACCATCTTACTGTTTGGGAGGTTTTCTTTTCCAATTAATTAACATTTGGCAATAAACAGAGCTGGAATTTATTAATTTGCTCTGAGCCTTTGTAGTTTTAATGATTCTCCAGAGCAGGATTTCCCAAACTGTGAACTTTCCCCTTTTTTTGGAAAAAATTTTAAATCCCATCTTTATTATTTTTATAAATAACTCAAGGCAGAGAACATAACTAATGTTCCCTTCTTCTATTTTCAACAATTTTGAGAGTTGGGCTAAGAAAGACTGATGGACCCAAAGTCAACCAGCTGGTTTTCATGCCTGAGGTGGGATTAGAAATTCAGTTTTCTGAATTAGCCTTGTGCCTTAATCTCTGGCTTCCTTACGTTGTTACGTTGTTATATTATAATCCCTTACATTAACTCCTTTACATTATTATAAAAATCCACCCTCCCCAAAGTTTCATTGTATTGTTTTCATTGTTCACTTGTGTTAATTTTGGTATTTGGATTTTTAGGGGTAATGTGTACATTAAGATTACACTAAAGGGAAGTGTAATGGCAAAAAATGTAACCCCTGTTCCTTCTAATTTCTTATGGCCCTGATTTAACTAATAGTGTTATCGTATCAGTATTAGTTAGACTGATTCCAATAATTAATCCCTTCTGGATTCTGCATTATTTCATGAGTTTACCTTCGCCAAGGACCTGGCCTCTATTGAGATCCCTCGTTTTTTTCCGCTTGCCTCGCTTGCCTCTCCCTTTCCTTCCACCTGCAGTATTCTCTGCTGCAACTCCTTTCCAGAGTTCGTTGGCTGTCACTGTTATGAAACAGATGTCTATAAGTTGTCCAAATCATAATATATTTTAACAGCAGTTCAAATGAAGAAAAAAGTATATGCTATTTACTCTTATGTTTAAGCCAGCTATACCTCAAGTAAAATATACCTCAAACAGCTGCTAAGATGGGCTTGCACTTAATTTGTTTGCAGAACAGTATTTACTGAAGTTAACACCAAATTTATAAGACAACACAGAAACATAATGACCTGCTGTCTGGAGGTTAGGTCACGGCAACCACTGACTTCTTTTCTTTTTGGTTTGAAATGTTTTGCTGCTTATCCAGGTAACTTCTTCAGTCTGAGAATTGTCATCGTCATGATATATTACCTAACAATTGCACCAATTTATACCAGGGCTGTCAAACTTGCAGCCCATGGGCTGGATGTGTCACATACTGGTCATGCCCATGCCTGGTTTAGCGAATGAGAAATTTGCTATATGTCACGTGACGCTGCAAATTTGATACCCCTGATTTATATAATCTTTTTTTTATTTCCACAAGAATATCAAATAGTGATTTCCATTTCCAAGTGCCTTCCAAAGTGTAAAACTGTACATAGCCATAGGACTACAGGTAAATCTTTGGGATATGATGGCAATTCTGGTAATCTCAATTGCCATCGCTAAACAAGGACTGCATGGGTTGTTCTGCAAGGATCTTAATAACTGCAATTTCAGATTTCCTGCCATAGTCCTCACTGACTATGCTTGTGACAAGCTGACACGAGAAAGTCAGAAATCATAATCACATGTCTGCAGGTATACTGCGATGGTCAGAGCTATGAGAACATGTCATAAAGTAACATTCATTCTGTACCACTGTATATCATTCATTCACTGAACATTAAAAGTTAATAATACATACCCCTGGTCCCTGCAGATATGGCCACTGGCATGTTCTGTGGTTATGGGGTCCACATTTGGGCGCTTGGCAGCCCAACCTTATGACCACATGGCAGGTGCTTCAACTTACCCCAGCAATCCATATCCCTCCCATCTTTGCCTTTTTGGCACCCAGCACTTGCTGCCCAGTGCTCTGCAAACCCTGGCTAACCTTTGCCTTCTTGCTCCTGCTGCTGATCCATGCATGTCCAGCCTGGCTCTTTGCAAGGCAACTGCTAGCTGCACAAGGCTTTCTTCACAAGGTCATGAACCAAAGCTTCCTTGCATGATCTGGTGAAGAAGGCCTTGTGCTGCCTCATGTGGAGGGTTACGCTCAAGCTACCTCATCAGCAGCAGGAGTAAGAAAACAACAAACATCAACTGGAGCAGTGAAGTGAGGGTGGCTAGGGTCTAGGGAGTGCAAGGTAGTGAGAGGAGCTGGGGCAGGGTCTGTGTGCCACACTACTGGGCTAGGCTGCAGCAGCTTCCCAGGTTGGTTATGGCTTTGGGCCACACTACCGGGGCTTCCGCAGAGAACCAGAGGCTTGACACCATGCTGCTGGACTGAGTTGGGGCTTCCTGGGGCTTTTGTACTTTGCTGTGGCTTGAAGGCTTAGAGAAACAGTGCAGCAAGCAGCCCGAGCTGCATGATTGTAGGGCTACTTGCTGCCCCAGAAAGCAGGATGCATGATAGGCAAAAGGGCAGAGATGGGGGCAACAGACAGTTGGGGGGAGTTCTAATGGCTGGGATGGGTAGGCCAGTCAGATCAGACCTGGGCTTCAGAATAAAATTATATTTTTAGTGGGACTTACAAACTGCAAAGGAGATGCTGATCTTTAATATGAAATTAGAGTATCAAGATTATAATTGATAAAAGGCCAAATTAATAAGATCCAACCAAGTTCATGCTAGAACCCATTCTGATGTGTTTTCTTGTTTAGGCTCTAAAGAATACATTACAGATGGTGACTACAGCAGGAGCTGTTTAATTGTGCCCCGAGGATGAGTGCCTTGATATTAGTCTAGAGCAAAAGAGATTTATGAATAATTTTAGTTTTCTTTCCATTTTTATCCTCAATTTACCCAAATATTCTGGTTGGCAGCTGAATTTCATATCATGGATACTTTCTGGATGTTTGACACTGGTTTTATTGTCTTCTCTCCTGGCATTCTGTATTCCATACTCTTTTCTTCCCATCAACCACATGACTCATCACTTCTAAAAAAATCAATTCTCTGCTCCTCTTCCACCGTCAATATGGAGCACAGCAGAATCAATTCACAGCTGGTAGTGACAATACTGCTAAGTGCTACTTAAAATATTCCACAGTCTTTCCTGAGGTGACCGTGCATGGCTAATATAAAAGAAAGTAACACTTCAAATAAATTTCAAAATATGGAAACTTATAGCACTTAACTAGTCAGAGGCACAACAAAGACTGTCAAATGTTCATCAGGAAACTAATAATTCATTCTTATTCTCTTCAGTTAATAAGATACAGAAGATTTTAGGAAATGTGGACTGGCTTAGCTCTAATCAAGCTTACTTCAGGCACAAACTCCAACAATTCATCTCTGCTTGAGACACACACGAAAGGGAGTTCATCTTTTGCATGTTAATATTTTGATTCATCCAATATTGATGCTACATGGAGGATCTAATCTAATCTAAATTATTTTATTTTCTTGGCTATTTTCAGCCAGTGTTAAAGGGATCTAGCTCATGATTCTCTGCTTTGCGGAGTGCCTCAGAGTTTTCTTCTTTCTCTGGTCTTAACATCTGCATGAAGTCACTGGGCAAGGTCATCTGTTGACCTGGGGTGCAATATACTTCATACGCTAATAATACTCAGTTGTACATCTCTATCCCTGGGCTGACCAGGCAGTGCTCCCAAGGTCCTTTCCCACTGTCTGGAGGCCATGAGGGTCTGGATAGGAGAGAATAGGCTTCAGATCAAACCCTGGCAAAACTGAATGGCCATGGACTTTAAGGCCATCTAGCAGTGGGGATTTTCCTCTTCTGCATGGAGGTGCAGTAAAAGTTGGTGCACAATTTGTGGGTCTTTCTGAACACGTGGCTCCTGCTCAAAGGGGTTTTTGCACAGATTTGTCTTAGGTATTGTTCCCATTCTCAGAACAGCGTTACACATGGTGACTCACTTGGATTATTGCATGTAGAGTAGAGTTACTTTTGAAGAGCATTTAGAAACTGTAGCTGATGAAAAATTTATCATGCAGATAGTTGTTAGAATTTCTTCTTATGCCCATAAAACAATGCTACTCTGTAAGGTTTAGGTGTGATTCCAGTTACTGGTTATCAGCTACAAAATCCTACATCAGAGAGGACCAGGCTAATTGTGGGACTACCTTTTTCCTTTTGTTTCCCTTATCCCACCAGATCTAGAGAAGTCCAGGTCCTTTCTATCAAACAATGTCATCTTGTTTAGAGTCATGTCTTCCCAAGGGTAGCGCCTGCCCAATGGAATCGTATTCTTCACAGATTCAGATGGCCCCAACCCTGAATTGGATTGGGTCCAATTGGATTGAGCCAACCCTGGCTATTTGGGTCAGGTGGTTAGGTGGCTCTACTATTGTCAATATGGTTTTTTTCTGGTGAGAGGAGTTATTGTTCATCTTTGGATACTTGCAGTTATATATTTAGGGTTTTGCTGTGTCTGTAATCCTTGTCAGTCGCCCAGAGTTACTTCTGTAAGATTGGCAACTATAAATACATACATGCATATAACTCAAGACTACTGGGTCCTTTAACCTCTACCCTTCTATCAGATATTCTACTATGAGCCACAGTCATTATTTGAAATATAACTGCTAAGAAAAAATATATTAAACATTGCAAAAGAGTTTACATCATGTAGCATGATCAATGTAATTGGATATATAATTAGGGAAAATGGTAATATTCTCAAAGTAGTTTTGATCCTCTAAATGTTACCAAATTACAGTTTGCAAATCAAACACCATTTGCCATTTTGAGAGGAGTTGCTTATGGTTGAAACTGAGTAATTATCTGAAGGACTTCAATGTCCATCTCTGGTAAGATTGGACTAATCAACACTGATCAGCTCTGATTGTGAGAACTTTAGGGATCCACCAGAGTATTTTAATTTAGCCAACTGAGGAATCATGTAAATTAAGCAGCTCAAATTCTATGAGAGAATTTGAGCCTACACTATGGTAGTTAAGGATGGTAAACCAGGCCCACTTTTCTACCCTGAAAGTGTCTACAGAAGGTCAGGCAGCTGCACTCTTTGCACAAGTAGTATTCCACTCCACTCCACTCCAGGAAGTACAGGTAATATAGCGAGTGGCATATTTGCATAATATGGCTAATGTGCCAGCTATAAGCCTTCCTGAGTCAGGCAGCTTTAATGGAAGTTATTCACACTTTAGTGAACTGCTATCTTGATGTACCCTTGAAAAGTGTCCAGAAATATAACTGAAGAAAAGTGCTGCAGTTAGATTGGTGAAGAATGCACTAAAACTCTGCACAAACTGCCTGTGTATCATCTAAAGTTTAAGGCAACAATGCTGATGTTATAGCCCAAAAAACTTATGGGCTGGTTGCCTGACCAACTAAATGTCTCTCCTGCTATGAGCCTGACTAATAACTTACATTAACAGGGGATGCTTCTGCTGCCAGAAGCTTGTTTATTTGACATGTGGGAAAAGGCCTTCTCTTCTGCAACTTCAAGGCTATGGAATCAAAAGATTTTTCACTGTTAATAGATTTTAACGTCACTTTATATTTTGATTTTAAATGTGGTAAGCTGCCTTCAATGTTTATAAAAGTAGAAAAATGGGGTGTGAATCTAATTAACATAATAGTTAAATTAAAGGCTGCAGGATTGATTAGCAGCTTCCAAATACTTACATTTATTGAAAAAGCTTCTCTGCCTTCTCTGCTGCACTGTCACATTATATGATGCAGAAATGTTGCAATGTGTCTGAAATGAACATGCCAAGGCAGCATACTGGCAGCTGATTCCATGGTTTGAAATCAAAGCATAACCTGTGGGGGAAAAAATCATGTTAATATCTCAATTATTGAAAGGCTGAAAAATTAACTTATGAATAAGATAGTACATCTCAAGAAATATTAGTATATTTGGATATATTTCTTGGATAATATCTCTATACACAATGTAAGAGAAAGAGAGATGCCTTTCTTAAGATGATTCAGCCACCAATAATTTTTATAGATTCTTGTAGTAAATATAACAACTTTAGACTTTTGCTGACCAACTGATCAAACACATCTTTTTACCTATTAAAGTAATTTATATGTATTAACTTAATCAATTTACTCATCCTAAAGGAAATTACACCAATTTAAATATAAAGCATTAACCCAGAAAAACAACACAGGGTCTACATCTCTTTAGCAAATTTACACAATTGGTTGCTTAATATTATACCCCTCCAGTTTTCTAGACAATTCTCTAGACCGGTGTTTCTCAATGTGGCACCTTTAAGATGGGTGGGCTCCAAATCTCAGAATTCCCCAGCCATGCTATCCATTATAAGCTTGGCAAGGTTGAGAAACATTGCTCTAAACCAGGGTGGACAAATATGGCATTGTTACAACCTGCGGACTTCAATTCCCAGAATTCCTACACCAGCATATCCACAGGCCATAAAGTTGCCATAGTTGTCCACCTCTGCTCTAGACAAAATAATTTCCTTCAGCATCTCTGTTACTGAGAGAATGGACTCTGCATTTTCTTTGCTATAAGTAAGAAGCAAAGAACAGAAAAAGAAAAGCCTTGAGGGCAAGAATCTTCCTTATCTCTTATTATCCTTTCACTTAATTTATTATAAAACAATATATACAATTAATGTATTATACTTTCACACAATTTATTACTGAAAAAAAGAAAAAAGATCCACTGAACTGCACTGTATGTCCATTTTAGTCTAGGGGTGTGTGTTTAACCCCTTTCATTTTTTATTCTTTTTCAGAGCACCAGTTATAATGCCCAGTTAAAAGCGGGCATTATAACTGTTTTTCTGCAATGGCCTATCACATGTCTTCAGGAAACCTGAAGGGTGCAACTGTGGTTGGTTTCAAGGTCCATGATACGAAAATTTCTACCTATGAATAACAATTGGAGCCCATTCTCAATATCAACTCTGGGAAATTCCGAAATGAATATAATTCATACAAAAACATACCCACCCAACAAAATTCTATTACAGATTATCATTGCTGTGTTTTACCCACTTATCACTTTGCTTTTGGGGAATGTCATGGAAAGCAAGGACTGTGAGACAAATGAATGCTGTAATATTTATTGGGAAGTATGAGATGAGGCCAGTGAACGTTGGTACTAACTGGACACACAATTTCCCAAAAGAACAAAGAGACAAGAAAGGACTAAACTCTCTGCATTTGAAATATTTTAAACTTTTGTTTATTATTACTAAATTTATTTGCCATCAACTTGATTATTCTAAGCACTATTGACTAAACTATATCTGCAATAAACTCTGAAAGCAATCCATCTTAACCAGAGCCTATGTCTGATATTTCAATTTAGCATGCTTTTTGCAATGCAGGCAAAAATTGCACAGTAATATACAAGTTATGCAACAATTCTAAAGTAATTTTGTTTTTATTCCTAATATGTAAATCTGCATGTTTACAATGTAATCCCACTGTTGTCTTTTCATGATAGGCTATCACGTTTACCAAACTGGTTATGCAAGCCATTTTATGTATTTTATGGTTTAGTGTGCCATGCAAAGGCTTAGGAATAGTTAAGTTAATCATGTGTGCTACTTGTGAACAGTTTACGTGTATTTATTCAGAAGCTGATTTCCCTATGTACAGTTGGATTTATTCCCATTTAAGTAAACTTGCCTTGACTTTCAACAGTGCATAAACTTTCTGTGAGGAAATACTAAATTCTGATCCCGTCTTCTCATTTATTAGCAGATTTCCTACTCTTAAAATTCAACCGAAGCTTCAGCAGTTATGATGGCTGCAATCAAATGATCATATATAAGGGCAGAGGCGAGAATAGCCCAGAAGAAGGAAGGTTAACGTGAGGAAGCCCCGCCGATCCAGCCCGTGCATGGAAATCTCAGCCCAGGCGAAAGCAAGAAAAGGGTTCACCTCTGCACGCGGTCCTGAGGACGCCGGCATTGCAGACTCTCTGGGCCGCAACAACTACGGCGGCCGCCATGTTTCCAAAGATCCCGGGCAGCTCCCGTAGTTCTTCCTTCTTCCGGATCTCAAATTTGACCGCGTAAAAGTATGAATTCGGTTTTTCAGTAAATCAGATGAAGTTAATCAGAATGACAGGCACTGTTGAAAGCAGCTTCTTCTCTTGGAAGGATTATCGTTTGGACGCAGCCACCGGATCCTATTAGCTAGCATTTCTTACTTTAAAGTTGTATGGACTTCAACTCCCAGAATTCCCCCGCCAGGCATGAGAAGCACCGCGTATACCCTTGCCTTGCAGATTCAAACACTAAGAGTTCTAGTCCCCGACACGTTTTGTCGTCACATCCTGGTTTCTTTCGGAAAGTGGCGAGGAATCTCCGTCTTGCTTCCATGTGCGGGGCTCTAAAAAATTACTGAAGCCTCCAAAGGGAAGGATGCATTAAATAATAAATCGATGGCTATTTGTATTGTATTAGTGCCGCTCGTCACGGCTGCCTTATTCAACACGGGAAGTAGCACTCGTTCTTTGCCAGTAAGCCTGATTTAATATGCTCCCACTCCGCTTTTCGACGGTATGCTTCCAAACGCGAGGAGAAGCAGGTGTCTGGACTGGCTTAATCTACATCTCTCCTCCTCCCTCCCTATATGCTGGGGATCATAATAAAGAATGTTTATTCATGGTTTGCAGTGCAGCTGCAGCATAAGTGACAAATATAAAGTGAAAAAATTCTTCCTGGCCATTTCAGAAGAAAAAAAAAAGCCTTTAAAAGCCACTTGACTTTTGGTGGCTGCCAGGACGACTCCATGCAGTTTTCTGGGCAAGATTTCAGAACTGTTTATCTAATTGCCTGCTTCCTAGGGCTGAGAGTGTATGACTGGTTCAAAGTCACTGAGCTGCCTTTTGTGCCTAAGTAGGATTAAGAACTCAGGATCTCCAAGTTTGTGGCTTGGTGTCTTAACCATACCAAACTGGCTCACATGACTTTTAACTTGTTCGAATCAGTGATCTTGTAGTCACTGAGCACAGATTTGATGTTGGTATATGGAGATTGTTCAGAACAGAGATGGTATTCAGCAGATTCTGACCAGTTCTGGAGAACCAGTAGTGGAAATTTTGAGTAGTTCGGAGAACTGAACTGGCAAATACTACCTCTGACTGGATATTTTACAGCAGTGATCCCCATCCTTTTTTATGCCGCGGCCCGGTATCCCCAACCTTTTTATGGCGCGGCCCGGTACCGGCATCAGCTGGGCGCCGCCATCTTGTTTTGATGAAAAAGTGCTTCCGGTGAGCTCACCGGAAGCACTTTTTCATCAAAACAAGATGGCGGCACTCAGCAAACCAGCGGCCCGGTAGGACTTGTTCCACGGACCGGTGGTTGGGGACCCCTGTTTTACAGTATCCTTCCCCTGCCACACCCACAGAACTGGTAGTAAAAAAAACGAATCTCACCACTGGTTCAGGGGCATATCCAACTTGTTTCCCTGTTTCTTTTTTCTAGTTAGTAAAACTACTGTAGGAAAATGAACATTCCAAATAAATTGCACAAACTTGAAATCTATTTGTGTCTGTACAAAAGTAGACTATCAGAGTGATCTTCCATCTGTGGATATTGGAGCGAATATAAGAATGTAGATCTTCCAGTTTGTATGATACTCCCCAAATTCTGCTTTTTATTACCTTTACCGTTCCTATTTATGCAACATTTCCCATACATTTCCAATCACAGTGTATTATCACCCTCTCCTGGCCCTTTGAAATTATTTATAGGATAGCCTCAGATTACAATACTGACTGAGACTGGGATTGTCATCAGTAAAGCAATGTTGTAAATGCAATGTAATATGGCTGCATTACTTAGTGATCACAATCTTGGCAGTTCCAGTTGACATTGTAACCCTAGGATTGTGCAAGTTGTTAAGCTAGAAGAGGCAGGATTAGGCAAGGAACGAAGGGTGTGTGCAGATGACATGGGTGGGCCCTATGGGGTCCAGATAAATTGGTGGGGACTATGGGAAGGCTGGTGGGAGAGGTAGGTGTTGCAGAGTGCTGGTGGAGATGGCAAGTGAGCCAGGTGGATGCTACAGAGTGTGGGCAGTCTAGCAGAGGTTGTGCTGAGGGTGGATGCACTACAGAGTGTGATTGGGGAGTGCTGTGAGTAGGTGCATACCTTGGAGGGCTGGCGGGGGCTGCTAAAGTGTACAAGGTCCCTGGAAACATACTTTACAGCAGGGGTCCTAAAGAGAAAAAGTGATGGGAGTGATTTATAAAGACTAGGGGCAATGTTGCAATATCTCAGGGGCTGCCACAAAGAAGAGGGAGTTAACCTATTCTCCAAAGCACCTGAAGGCAGAACAAGAAGCAATGGATGGAAACTAATCAAGAGAGAACCAATCTAGAACTCAGGAGAAATTTCCTGACAGAATAGTTATTTAGAGAAATGCCTCTAGAAGTTTGGGTGCTCCAACACTAGAGGTTATTAAGAAGAAATTGGACAAGCATTTGTCTGAAATGGTATAGGGCAGTGATGACTAACCTTTTTGGCACCGAGTTCCTAAAGCACATGTGCGTGCACCCCCAAAATGCAATGCACACATCCCTGCACATGTGCCACACACCACGCATGCACATGTGTCCCCTGCACATGCAACCCCCGCATGTGCCCCATCATCTGCCAAAGACAGATGCAAAGACCAGCTGGCTTGTGGGAGGCGCGCATGCATGCCCGGTGGAGCTGAGCTGGGGCGAATGCTCACATGCCCACCGAGAGGGCTCTGCATGCCACATCTGGCACTAGTGCCATAGATTTGCCATCATGGGTATAGAGTTTCCTGCCTGAGCAGGGGATTAGACTAGAACAGTGGTCACCAACTGGTGGGCTGGGGACCACTGGTGGTCCGCAAGAAAATTTTGGGGGTCTGCAGAGAAATGTCATCCCCAAAGCAATTAATCCAGGCTGCACCAGAACACAAGGCTGCACTGCCCACATGGCCCGTGGGAACACAAGGCTTGTGTTGCTTGCATTGCGCACAACATGAGGTAGGGAGGGAGGGAGGAAAGGGCGGAGGGGTGGAACTTGCCCCACTCGCCCCATACGCCTGGCCTGGCCACCGGGCTGTTTCTTTTCACTTCTTTCTTCTGCTTTTGACTGAATGCAAGGAAAGCAGCAAAAGTCTTTCTTTTTCTCCCCCAAACTCTGCCAGAAACGAGTCTTTGGGACCCTGCAAGGCATCCTGCTCCAAAAGGCTGCACCAGCAAAGACTCATTTCTGGTGGAGTTTGGGGGAGAGAAAGACTTCTGCTGCTTTCCTTGCATGAAGCCAAAAGTCTCTCCCTCTCTCCCCCCCTGAGAACGGAGCTGGAGACTGTATCCTGTGATCCCAAATAAAAAATGATCGATCAGTAGGAAAACGGGGTGGGGAATTTTCCTGCAGACTTTTTTCCTGCAGCCAACATCAGTCAAAATTCATATTAGTGGTCTGTGGGATTTAAAATTATCAGTTTGGTGGTCCCTGAGGTCCAAAAGGTTGTCGACCCCTGGACTAGAAGACCTCCAGTGTCCCTTCCAACCCTGTTATTCTGTTATTCTGAATGACTTGCAACCACCCCTTCTGGCTTCCGTATTACTTTTGCTCGTAGGAAGCTGGCAAGGAGGGTTGCAAATGGTGACTGTGGGATGCTGCAACTGTTGTAGGATTGCCAAGAACCTAAATCATGATCACATGACCACAGAGACTGCACTGATGACCATAACTTGAGGACTTGTCCTAAAGAGCATTCATTCAGTGCCATTGTAACTTTGACCGGTGAATGAATGATAATCATAACCTGATGATTACATGTATTCCTTCAAGTAATCTCAGTTCTAATGCTAAATATAACTAACGATGACGTCTGTAATGAAAGGTGGCTATTCCCCTCATCCATTTGCCTATCACAAATGATCTGAGGTAGGGTTATTTATTATTTATTTAAAACATTTGTATAGATGCCCATCTTCTAACCAACTCTGGGCAGCTTCCAATAAAAAATTAAAACAATTTACAACATTATATTAAAACTATAAAACTAAACAGATTAAAACATTAAAAACAATAAAACCTGGCAACAGGTCAACTTCTAAAGTGCAGTTATCCAATCTTATCCCAGCACTTGGGGAAAAAGCCATCCTTGTTTTCTTTTTGGCACCAGACAAACACAATTTTACTCTCTGAGGCCTTTTATTAATATGTTACTATCACTGTGATATGCAACTATTGTACATTACTGTTGCTTTTACTTTCTCATTGTTTTAATGTTCATTTTACTGATTTTGTTTTGTTTTATGATTGTATCAAATGTCTTAAGATGATCATAATAACTGTTTGAATTTATAGCTGGAACCATGTGTGTAATTTTTAATGAGAAATGATGTATAAATATTATCAATCACACATGTCTCCATACCAATCATAGTATGTTATTTGTGGGATAAGCAGAATGCAGAAAAGGAATAAGAAATAGTAAGCCAAAGAAATTAAAGGTATGAGAGGAAAGAAAAGGAAACATAGTTAAAATGAGTTTATACCAACATGATTCGATTATCTTCTTAACATTGAAATGTTCCATACACCAATTCATATACTTTTGTTTTTTAAACTTCTCACTTGTTTTTCTTGAAGCTCTCAACTCCACCCAACCACAGTTTTCTTGATTTTCCCTTTTCTCTAAATTTATTCACTCTTCCTTCATGCATTTGTTCTGCAATTCAATCCTTAACTTTTTCTAAGTGACCAAGCCAACTCAATTTTTTGAAAATGGTCATTCTGTTTTGAGTTTAGTTCACATTCAGTTAGCACCTATTCAGACTATATGGTATCCAGAGCCTTCCTAGCAAGATTTGCATATCATAACATTTCTTTATCTATTTCCCTATATTAATAGATTCTTCCAAGGTACACTAATTCATTTATTGGTTCCAAATGCCATTTATGTATAAATGGTATTGTTTTTCTTGTCAAATATTATCAAACCCTGGTTTTTGTATTCATTTTTAGATCAATACTTTTCACTGCATCATATAATCTAACAGTTGCTGAACAGCACATATGCATTCATGTTCCTAACCAACATATCTTTAATTTAATCACAAGCATTCCTTCTACACTTAACCATAAAGCCATTGAACAATCAATGAAACATAACATTTCTTTGTCTTACTCCCAATTCATTGTTCTACCACTAATTAGCATTATCATGTATGCATTGCTTCCATCAATATGTAACTT